AAGAAGAAGAAGAAGAAGAAGAAGAAGAAGAAGAAGAAGAAGAAGAAGAGACCACTGGACAACAAATACCAGTTGACTAGATTCCAATGTATGATACGCGTTTTTATATTATTTCTGCTGTGCCTTTCTGTGCCAAGGCAGCTTGTGGACAACTTGAACTTTAGATATCTACAGTCAGTCAACTGGGGAACATCATCACTACATTGATTACATATGAGGCTTACCTTGGACAATGATGTTTATGTAATGGCTGTTGTCTTTTTGGTCTCCTGAAATACTCTCGCAGTGATACAGTCCACTGTCATTCTTATGAACAGATGACAAATTCAAAACAAAAACATTATCATTAATCCATGTAAATGTGTGCCTTTGTCCATCATGCAAAGTCAAAGAACTATGATTGTTCTTTTTGTACCACTTGATTTCAGGCTTCTTTTGGCAATATGTCACTGGGCACTCTATGATGGCTGAATCTCCAGCCTTTATGCGGTATTCTGTATTCCGTTCAACATTAACAGCAGCAGTACAGTTCTTAGCTTCTATTCCTGAAAAGGAAGAGGGAAGAATTTCAGCAGCTATGCAGTATTTATTACATGCCACTCATAGCTTCTTTGTATCTATAGCTTCTTTCATGTGGTTCATACATGGCTAGAATGCATTAGCTATATAACATGAAGGATGATAAAATGCTGATGTTGATCACTTGTTAACTGGGTAAAACATAGCCAGGCAATGTCTGAAGACTGTCATTAAAAGTTTGGATGGCCAATATATTATGTTTTGTTCTTAATGAACATTATACTTGGTGGGCTGAGTCACCAACAAGATGCATGTAAAGTATATTGATACACAAGCCAGTACACAACTCAGTACCAATAGTGTCAAACTTGTGCTATGGTATCTCTTCTTAGAATATTCCCATTCCCAACATACACAACCCAGTACAGATGCTAAGGAAAGAAGCTGTCTGAAAATATCCCAAGAGGTTTTATTAGCGTTCTGATATAACCTCAGCAGTCTAGCTCTGTGGACTTCTACTTTCCAGGCACAGTGACACGACCCATCAAGTGGCAAGCATGTGACATCAGAGTCACATCACAGGCAGATACAACAGAGTTATGATGTTACCAATGTCAAGGCTTGGACTGCAGGCCAGAAGCTAAAAGAGCTGGAGACAAGACACACAACCTGAGCACCTGGACGTATATCGAGTCACCTTGCATATTGTATGCATACAGAGACAGATGCCCTCTATTCAGGCACTGTAGTAGTAGTCTGTATAGATGCAGTATGGGAACTCTTCAACCAGTCAGTAAGGCTCTGTGACCTTTGAAAGTGCATTGTAGACTACTGTTCATACGTGAGGAATATATATGAGGAATAACATGAGAATGATTTGCTAGGTCAAATCTTCTCTCAAGGCAGCCTTGTTTACCATCTGTGATACAGAAGTGGGATGCAAATTAGAGGAAGCTGTTATTGAAAAATGGCTACAAGGGGCTTGCATCCACAAAAGGCAGAATCGAAAGCCAGTGTAGTCTAGTGGTTAGAATGCCACAATAGAACTGGGAGCATCTGGATTCAATCTGCTTTGCTGTAAAACTTACTGGAGTGGATCCCAATCATCTCCTGCCTCTCCTGTGGGCAAAGACTGAAGCCTTCCTCCAGCCTAAGAGCCCTTCCTCCAACTTAAGTGGCTCTTCCAGTGGAGGAAGGCTTCAAGAGGAGTGGTAGGATGGGGTAGGATTCATTTCACAGGGTGACTGTCACCTACCTCACTGATGTGAAGACAATATAGAAAAGAGAACCATCTACACCACCATGAGTTACCTAAAGGAAAAGTGGTGTAAAGATGAATAGACAGAACTGGCATCTAGTGTGTGAATGGATATTTGAGAACAGGTCTACATACACTTTGAGGTTATTTGTGGTGTCTAGGAAAAACAAGTTGCAGCTGGTAGAGGATGATTTCTGATTATGTGGGACTGCTCAAGATAAATCTGATGATCTGTTATGTAACTGAAACTTTATCTGATTTACAGAGTTCCAGTTTTTAAAAGGTCAAGTTCAACTTTGCTTTTTTCAGAACCAGTTTACACTGGATTATTCTTTTGGATGGAGTCACACACGCACGCAGACAACACTGTCACTGAGCAAATTTGTTGGACTTGTTGGACTTTCTCTCTTCCTATGACAATAGAAGCTTCAAACACAGATTTATGGGGATTAAATAAATATCTATATTTATTTTATTTACTTCATTTATAGTCTGCCTTTACCAACCCATATTTGATGAAGGGAGCTTTGACTCTCAAAAGTTCATACCCCCAAAATCTTGTTGGTCTCTAAGGTGCTACAGGACTCAAACCTAGCTGCTACTGCAGACCAACATGGCTACCCTCTGAATCTTTTTCACTAAAGGTCAAGGCAGAGTTCTATTCTGGTCAAGGGCACAAGGCAGAAACAGAAGTCAGGGGTAGACAAAATTGTTTCATAGGAGAGAGCCTTCCCATTCTGGTTCTTGGAGAGAAATGTGTCCCCTCTTTCACCGCCCCCAGTCTTCTCCTTTCATTATACAGCACATGTCAGCTAAACCCAAAGTACTTTGTTTGTGGACAGGCAAATCAGGTGGAAGGACAACAATGGCCGCAGCGACCACGGCATCTTTAAGGTCCACCAGGGCAGAAACAACAGCTTCTGCTGATGACGCCATCCATCTGGTGCACTGGCAAACATATTAACTAGGCTTGCCAACCTCCAGGTGGAATCTAGAGATCTCCTGGAATCACAACTGACTTGCAGACTACACAGATCAGTTCCCTGGAGAAAATGGTTGTTTTGGTGGTGGTGGTGGTGAGGCTCAGTGGCATCCCATCTCCGCTGAGGTCCCTCCACAAATCCCTTCCTCCCAGACCACCCTCACCCCCAAGAATTTTCCAACCCTGAGTTGACAACCCTATAAATAACCCAACCAGCTCTAGAGAGTTTTCAAGATGAGACAGAGGCTGCGGTCACACACACTAAATAATCCACTTTCAATCCACTTTCAGTGCACTTTCCAACTGGATTTTTACTGTGTGAACTGGCAAAATCCAGTTGGAAAGTGGATTGAAAGTGGACTGAAAGTGGATTATTTAGTGTGTGTGACTGCAGCCAGAGTTTAGTATTTGCAGGAGGCTGAAGACTCTGAATGGATGTTCTCAGAGATTCCCTTGATTTCCCTGATTTCACTCAAGGACCTTCTCAAAACACAGAAGTAAAGCTAGTGCAAAACGCAGCGGCCAGGCTGTTGATGGGTCTGCCTATGCGGGAGCACACCCAGCCTGTGCTAAAGGTCGAATCCATATGTGTGTTTCTTGCCAGTTTCCTGACATTTTCGCTCCCATCCCCCAACAAATTGTCTACATTTGCATCCGGTTTCATGCTGGCAGTGCGCCAGTATAAAAATCAGTGTCTGCATATGTTTCCCGCCCTCTGGTAGTGACTCCATTGTCATAGCCGCTCTGTACTGGTTTAAATGAATGCTGTTCTTTGCTGCTCTGGTTTCGTTGTGCTGTCAACCTAATGCAGACATTTGGGAGCCATTGCTCCGCTAATTCTTAAATAATTCCAACAGGTGGTGCACAAAAAACTAGGCAGTAACTCATGGCTCGATTCCAACAGTATCCTTTTCTCTTTTTACTAGCTAGCCCCCAAAATAATTTTTAAAATTCTTATCTTGTTTTGAAGCTTTTATTTCTTGACCCCTTTTACAGACCGACTGAACATTTTTAAGTTCACTACTGGTGCAGTAAGAGCTTGCATTTATCTCAAAACGTTTAAATCCAGAAATGGTGTTTCTAATTTTATTCC